TCTTTAGGGTTTAAATCATGTTTTTTTATGAGATGAAAGCTTTTGGTTGGTATACATGTTAAAAGTAATGTTTAGATGTTGGATATATAAATACATGAGAATTTTGTGGTGTGTATGTAAATGCTAATTTTTCTTTTACACTATTGGGGCATATGTTTGTGGTTTGCTGATGAAATGATGTTATGGGTTGGGGCATATGTTTGTGGTTTGTTGATGAAATGGTGGTTATGGGTTAGGCCATATGTTTGTGGTTTGCTTATGAGATGGTGTCTATGGGTTGGGGCATATGGTTGTGCTTTGCTGATGTGATTGTGGTTGTGAGTTGGGGCATATGTTTTTGTCTTGCTCGTGAGATTGTGGTTGTGGCTTGGGGCATATGTTTGTTCTTTGCTGGTGGAGTAGTGGTTGTGGGTTGGGGTGTATGTTTATGTTTTTATGAGGAGATGGTGGTTGTGGGTTGGGGCATATGCTTGTGCTTTACTGGTGAGATGTTGGTTGTGGGTTGGGGCATATAGTGTGGTGTGCTGGTGTGATGGTGGTTGTGGGTTGTAGCATATCGTGTGGTATGCTGATGGGATGTTGGATGTGGATTAGGGCATATGTTTGTGTCTTGCTCGTGAGATGGTGGCCATGGGTTGGGACATATGGTTGTGCTTTACTGATGTGATGGTGGCTGTGGGTTGGGACATATGCTCGTGGTTTGCTTATGAGATTGTGTTTATGAGTTGGGGCATATAGTTGTGTTTTGTTGATGTGATGGTGGTTGTGAGTTGGGACATATGTTTGTGATTTACTTATGAGATGGTGTTTTTAGGTTGGGGCATATGGTCATTATTTGATGATGTGAAGGAGAATGTGGTTGGGGCATATGGTTGTGATTTACTGATGGGATTGAGGTAGTGAGTTGGGGCATATGGCTGTTCTGTGAGTTGTTGTTATTGAATATGTGGGAATTGGGGTGGCAATTGTGGGTTGGGGTGCATCCAGATAGGGGTGGCAATTGTGGGTTGGAAAAATATTTATGTCACTTTATTTTTAGATTTTCATTTTTGTTTGTTTAATTTTTGTTATCATAGTAATACAATGATCAAGACCAAAGAGTCTGGTACGCCCGCATTATGGGATAAAGAAACCAAAATAATATTATGTGATTTTCGCCTTAAGAAAATTGATATGAGAAGTAAACCTACTATCTATTTCAATAAGAAATGTTGGCAATATATTATCAAGAAATTCAATGAGAGTACATGCAGAGAGTATGACATGATATAATTGAAGAACAAGTGAAATCAACTAATGAATGATTGAAAATTTTGGAAGAAATTTAAACAAGGATCAACGAGCTTAGGTTGGGATCCGGTGAAGCGAACCGTTGATGCTTCCGATGAGTGATGTGTAGAAAGACTTGTGGAAAGCATTTTTAACATGTCCCATAAATTTGGCCAACTTCATTTTCTTATTAAAATACTTATTATGCATTTGTAGGTGGTTCCCGCTACAAATAAATTTTAAATTTGTGGAGTTGAGTCTGAGTTGGGGGAGAACTTGGATCGGATGATTGGGGGTGTCATTGCTATGAAAAACTATGTATGTGTGCCCAGTGAGATAGGATTTTGTGCGACCACCGAGAACTTGGGAGCCAACCTATCAGGTGATTCAACTGAAATCCCCTGCCCGGGCCTCCATGAGGTCGAACAACCTGTAGTTCTAAGTGTCTGTGGGTTGAGAGTAAAAATAAAGTGGGGGCTGCTTACCTTAGAAGCCAGATATCACAACTGGTGGCTTCTTTTAGCGTTGATCCACAAACATCTCAAATAAATTATATCGAGCAGATCATGAAAATTTTAAATGCAACTCCAAATTTTTTTTTTATGATTTTGAGTTATACTTGTTTGTGGCAAAGTTGCTTGAAGATCCGACTCTTAGAGATTTTCTTGTCAAGATTGCAAAAGACAAAAGTGTAGTGTACCTATGACACTTCTATGGCCACAAAAATGTTTGAGAGATTTTTTTATTTACAGTCGCTTGGGACATTAATGTTTGCGTATTTTTTTCCTTATAACTTGGATATTTCAACTGTTTGGAACTTCGCTTATTCAGTGCATTTAAATTTTTTTTTCATTATGTTTGTAACCTTATGTGGTGGCAGTTAATTCATTGATATTTCACTGTTAGACAACACGATACTGATTTATATGGATCCAATTGAAAGAAGACGCAAAATGAGAATTGCAGTTATCGTGTGTCTGATCTACGAATACCACAAATCATACATTGATAAGTCTCATTACATGACATCCTCATTTGTTGGGGACAAATGGGTTGAGAAGTTGCTTTGCACGAGAAAAAAAGTATTCATTGCTCTGTTGGAGGAACTACACAGATTTACTTCCCGGGATGATTTTACGAGAGGCGTTGGCAATAACCCTCTACATACTATCCCATAATGAATCAATGCGATGTGCAATAGAGCGATTTTAACACTCATCCGAAATAATTTGCAGGTACTTCTCATTGAGGTTGAAGGCACTTGTGAGCTTTTCTTCACAAGTCATAAAACCTATTGATCATACGTTCGAACAGACCCCCACGGATGTTTCACATGATGTACGATACTTATTGTTCCTTAAGGTAATTTCTCAAATTCATTAGAATCAAATTTAAGAAAAAATGTTGTTATTATGAACTTAACATTATTTTATCAAGATTGTATTGAATTAATTGATGGAACACACATTGACGCCATGTTCTAAATAATGAGAAGGTTGCATTCATCGATTGTTGTGGGAGCTCGACGTTGAATGTAATGGTCGTTTACGACTTCAACATGTGGTTTACTTTTGTTATGGCTGATTGGGAAGACGGTGCACCTGACAGTAGAGTTTTCAAAGCTATGACGCAGAATGAGACTTACAACTTCCCACATCATCCTGCAGGTATGCTTGAGACTCACATAATCTCGTATTTAACTTTTATCTCAATATTAATTATACAATTTATATCTGGTAAATATTAATTGGTCGATGATGAATATTCGTCGTAACAAGGGTATCTCAAGTCTTTCATGATATGAGACATCACTTACCAAACTTTGAGCAAGTAAGCAATGTAATACGAGGCAAAAAAAATGTTCAATAAAAGATATTTCCCGTTACGCGGTGTCATTGAGAGGACTTTCGGTGTTTGAAAGAAGAAATGAGTTATATTGCACATTATGTTTTCTTACTCGTTTCCCAAACAAATTTAGATTGTGATTGCCACGATGACGCTCCGCAGTTACATTTGACGTCAACCTTCCTGTAACGACATCGACTTACGTCGGGCAGATGAGGATCATGAGCTTGTACTTGTCGAAGAATTTGAGTGTCGTCTTGGGCATTCTATGCCACATAATGTGATTGATGTTTCCACCACCTGTACTACAGACGAGAATGCGCGAGTGAGATGACAAAGTAAAAGGAATAAATTACTGATTAGATTTGTAGGAGGGTGATTAGACTATTTATTATTATATTATCTGTACTTTATTCAGTGTTAATTTTATTTTATTATTACCTTTTATATTTGATAATGATTGTTTGAGATTTTTGCATTTCTTTTGTTTTTGTTTTGGTGGGTTTGAGGTGTCGATGATAAGATGTTTGACCTTATGGGTTATTTGGATGACCAGTTGGTCTCTCTTACTTTGTGTCACTTGTAAAATCTTAATGAAGTCAACTAAGTTCATTTTTTCTTTTCATTTCAATACGATTTTTGAGGTTTTTTTGAAAGATATTTTTTTTATGATATGCATATGTGACTGACACAAGCTTTGTATTACGTGGGTTAAAAACAACCAATAACCATTTTTCTACGAGTTCTACTGTCTTCTTGTAGTGACAGATTGGTTGGGTGGTGTACTGAGTTTTCTGGATCTTTCGTCTGCACAAAATTGTAATTGTTCACTTCATATATCAATTTATACTTGATTATTTTGTACATTTTCCTTTTATTTTCGTTCTTAATATATTTGAGATTGATTGTTTGAGTTTTTTATGTTATTCGTAGTTTTTTTTTTTCATTCGCATTTCATTTGTTTTTCTTTTGGATGGTTTAAGAGGTTCACTATGAGACTTTTGACTTTATGAGTTCTTCTGGATGTCATGTTAGTCGCTATTGGTTGATGTCACATGTAAAATTTTAATGAAGGCAGCCAAGTTCCAATCTTATTGTCAACGACATGGTTTTTTAGGATTTTCTGGAGGACCCTTTTCAGTGATTTGCATGCGTGACACGCGTGAACTTGGTTTTACGTGAGTTAAAGACAACCAAATATATTTTTTTTACAAGGTTTGTTGTCTTCTTGTAGTGACAGATTTGTTGGTTGGTTTATTGAGTTATCTGAGATCTCGCGCATGCTTAAAGCTATAACTTATTAATTCTTCTAGCATTTTCAACTTGTTTCATGATTAATGAGTTCTCTTTTGTAGCATTCAGAAAAGATGAGCTCAAGAACTTCAGACTTCCCTGCTTACGTCACGTCAAATGCATAACTACGGGAAAAAAGTTCTACAGATGCCCGCGCTGGGCAGACAATTTGGAGAAGTATGAGTCCTTCCGGTGGGCAGACAATCCGATAGATTTTATTGTCAACAATGATTGGGATGTTGTATCTCGTGAAGTACGTTGTCTGCAGTATAAAATCAATATTATCATATTACTAATAAAAACTTTGATAGTTTTTTATAACACACTTGATACTCACTGTTATGTGATCTGTTTATCTGAATTTTTGTATCATTCTGAAGTGAATTATTTGCTTTTGAATTAAAAGTATTACTATATATATATATATATATATATTATATATATATATATATGAACATAATGATTATTTATTCATAAATAACTGTCACATAATTATTTTTTAAATTATAGAAAATAACCTTTTGAGATAGGCCAGCTGAAGCAGTGATTAGGGTTTAGGTTAACCCTAAATCGGTTATCAAAACCCTAAATCCTCCTAATATTAAAATCTACCATCCCCTTCCCGCTATCCTGCCCGAAACCCTCGCCTACGTTCTCCTTGGCCAACCTCCCTTTCCCCCTCCCTTGCGGAAACCCTCGCGATACAGTGGCGAATGGAGCTAGTTATAAACGAAACGACGGGACCACGCTGTACGAAGACCTCCGAAACTCCCTTCTTATTACCCCTTCCTCTCCGCTGCTACCCGAAACCATGAGAAAAAGGTAAGAAGACACTACGGTAACCCTCACATTTCCGGCTCCACATTTCCTTCCATCCCTCCTTTTGCCAGTTTTTCAGTTTTTTTCTGCCCCCTTAATACCGTTTGCCAACAGGATTTAATAAATGCGGGATTTTAGCAGAACGGAGGAGAAACGGGCTTTCAAATTCTGTAGGATCTAATGTTTTATTTTTAGTTGTTTGACAGAGTTTAAGTTAAATACTGCTCAAATTCTGCTACCAAACAGCGTGAGTATAAACTTATTTTATATACGTATGGCAGGCATGCACCGAGATTTCCACCTAAGAACAACATCGGCGCGTGTATTGTTTGCTTTTCCTGGTGACTCTCAGCCGCGTCTGGATGGTGTTTTCGCCGTCATATAAGGATAGCAAACCCGTGACGATGCCACTTAACTCAAGTGCGCATCCTCCTCTTCCACCTAGACTCCTGCTCATCAACAAGTTTGCCGAATCCCGAGCACCAGAGCTTGAATCCCTGCACTCCATTGTCTCCAAGCGTCTTAATCATGATTTCCGCATGCGGCGTGACAAGCGGCGACGAACCACCAGCTTCCATAGCGGGAAGAATCGTCGGCAGAAGAGACCACGCTTGATAGATATTGCTGTCAACGGAACTGAGGCTGGGGATTTGGATAAAAAAGAAGCGGATCGGACCCCCGCGATGGGTAAGAAGACGGATAGAATTGCGGAGGAATCCGACATTTGGGTTTTGTTTGTCCGGGGATGGGACGAAGAGGCTTCGAACTCATCTCTGGCATGCCAAACGGTTCTCGATGGTGAAGCGTTGGGGATTCTATTTGCCTCTTGGGCTGCAAGGCAGGTAGACAGATTCTTCTCATCGGGGCCCTACAACTTTATGTGTTTTTTAATTTTCTTTTTGGGTTAACTACCATGAAGAGAATGATTTAATTTATCATTGTCAACTAACCTATTAAAACGATCAAATTTTAATATTACCATTATAGCCAAAAGAAATCGAAGTATCAGAACAACACATTGAGTAGTGCCATGAGGGTCAAGATTCCCAATTTTTGCAATTATATTTCTCAGAATCAATCAGCCATGTGATAACGGATGAAAGCAAACATATCTCTCCATCTCCCTCTTGCAGCACTGTTGCCACTTTCTTCTGTGTCGGCATTCAGCGCCATGCACCTCTGACAAGTGGTTGCATCTTAGTAGTTAATCCAATGTAGAACCTGCCATCCTATCATGTAGTTACGCACACAATACATTTGCACACCACATACAATAGTGGAATGAAATGGAATAAATGAATTAGTTCATTTTCTGTTCACCAATGTGTTCATGGTAGAAGAGTTTATTCACCTGACATTTCTTCTACCCTATTGTCTCTTCTAGTCTCAATCTTGACAGATTGAACTTAGTTTTATGACCAGCTCTGACTCTATCAGCAATATCCCAAAGATTATGGAAGGCAATTTGCTATACTGAAATGACATTCCCTTTCCTCGACTCGAACTTTGGATGGCAAATGTCAAAACTACCATAAACACATGGCCTAATCTTGAAAAAAATCCAAATTGCCACTTTCAAATCTTCAATATATTCCAAGCAATTACATTTGAAGGTTATCTAGAAGTTTTTATTTTTTATTCATCCAAATTTGTCTTGAGATGAAAATGAAACATACTCACCCAATTTATAATACAGCTTGTGGATTCTCATTGACCAAAACTCTGTGACAACTCTATTCTCCACCATCCCAACCTCTTTATTACCAGATGTCTTGAATTTGAAAACCTGTTTGGACATTTGGAGCACCTTAAACCGTAGAGCACAATCCTGGTACTTTAGCTCTCAAACTAAAAAATGAGCTCCATAATGTATCAATATTTAATGAATCTATGATTCAATATCTTTCGGGCATTAAGACCAAGGTCAACATCATCACAACTACTGAAGTCATCATTGATCATGAGGATGTCATCTTATACACACTCAATAGTCTTCCTCTAAACTACTAAGCCTTCAAAATAGTTGTACAAACTAAACTCAAACAAATCAACCTTGATGACTTATACTCCCTCCTTTGTTCCGAGGAGACAAAACTCGCAATTGAAACTACTAATGAACTCCACAACATTCGACTATGTTAACATCGACTGGCTTTAACTATATCTCATGTTAAAAGGGTAGAGGCTAATTGACGCGGGGTTGCTAGAGCTAAATCGGCCCATAGTTCAGCAAAGGGGCGACAGTTCATCAAGGAGACTGAAACGACCGACCCTAATTAGGACTTAGAGCTGCCTCCGCCCAAGGGCCCCCTCCTAATTATATTTTTATTATAAATAGATTGCTTGTTGTGTCAGGGTTTAATTTTTTTTGAGATTTTTATTTGGATAGCAGTTGACATCCTCTTTTTCCGTTCTAGGATTGTATCCGAGGACGAGTGATGCTCTGATTGTATCTTGCTCCAAAGTAGTGATTATCTCCAACCTCCACCTCACCTGCAACCTCCCTCTCGTTGTCACCAATGCCACAATTGTTGCAATTCACCCCGAAGACAACTATTCTACTGTTTACTACAGCCACTAAACCTTCCACTTTCCCGTTTACCTTTTTCCCTTCTTCCAACCCTCCTCTTATCAGTTGTTGTCTTCCTTGTGTCAACCACTTTCCTGGTTCTTCTGCAACCTCCTCCCATCCTCTCAGAACTGTTGCCCGCAACTCCTTTCACCGCCTTTTTGAGTTGTTTCCAGAACCCACTTTTAAGGTGTATATGTATATACACCTTACAAGTGATTAAATCACAGCCCATATGAAAAATGAAACTGTTGCATAGCTTGATAAGTGGAATAACCATAGTAGCACTATTATAATTAACAATGATAAATTAATTTAATTAATACTTAAGTTAACTCAATTAATACTCAAAATAACATTATTTTAGTTAATGATTTATTTTTATAAAATAAAATATATTAACAATTTATATATACTATTATATATCAATTTGATCAATAAAGAAAGTAAAATTTTATGAAAATAGTTTGGTTAGACTTCATGAAATGCAAAAAAAATATTTTATAATGATCAAAACTTCACCTGAATTGCCCAGAACTGGGTATTACAAATGGAGTCCTGGCTACACCATAATCCTAGGATGCCTAGGGGTGCTATTGAATGTGTCCATTATGTGTTGTACTCATTGCTATCAACCATAGGTGTTGCTTTACACTGCTCAAGGCGCTATATTTTGTTTTGACATCATCCATAGGCGTGTAGAAATGATACTTCGTTTTAACATCATCCATGGTATTACAAATCATAATTACCTAGTGTGGTAGAAATGATAGTATTAAGATGCATGCGTAGAAAATATGATAAGGTACAGAACGATTATATTGCAGAGATTTTTGTAGTAGCACACGCTGGGACAACACAATGTTGTAGTCTGTTTGGACACGTGCAGAACAAATAATTCACCCCTAAGGCAAAGGGGTAGAATTGATGTGAATAGTTTTGGAAGGGAAATGGTGCAGATTAAAAGGAACTTTGCTAGTTATATAAAAAAAATTTTCACAGATTAGTTTAGACACATGCATTACATGGCAAGCCGGATGGTTTTCTCTTTATTTATACAATCTACTTGTATATCATATTAATTTGATAATATAGCTTAGAAATGTTCTTTTTTATCGGCTTTAGAAAACAAATATTTGGTCAACAAGATTGTTATTATTTTACAGGGGAAGAGGTTCGAAAGCTGTCTTGAAGTGGTTAAAATCTGGAGCACTTATACATGATGCTAGTTATACTCTTCCTGTTCAATTGGAGGGTCCACAGGTTGGCATTATTATTATTATTATTCTTATTTTTTGCCGTTATTACTTATTTTATTTTATTTTATTCATTGACATTCGCTTCATTTTCTTGAGATCCAGCTTAAGATGGTTCTATAAAGAAATGTTTTCTAATGTAAAATTTTTATATTATCATCATTGTTCTTGCTTGTCTCCCAACCAAAAAGAAAATAATAATAATATAGTATTTTTTTAAAGTCGTACAAAAGAGCATCTTTTGAAGCGAAGCTTATATAGAGGCATCACACTAGCGGTGTAAGTGTGTCAAGCCGATTCATGAGCAAGCTCAAGTCGGTTTTATAAGTGGCTCATGTACTATGCTCGATGAGCTAACAAGCCAAGCTCATGCTAGCTCTGACTCAACTCGTCAGCTCGTGAGTTGGCATGTTTAAAAATATATTAATATAAAATACACTCAAAATATATTAAATTTGAAGTTATTATCTTTAAATTATAAAAAAATGGCTAAAAAATAGTATTTTGTATTTTATATTAAGTGATTTTCTATTATTTCTTTTCTAATTGCTCATTCTATTTGTCATTTTATTATAATACCACTTTAAATTATTATTATTTTCTCTCTTTTATAATAAATAAGTTGGCTTGTGAGCTGGTTCGAACTCGTAGACTTAAAACTGAAGCTCGAGCTCGAACTTGAAAAAATTAATCAAGCTCATGCTCAAGCTGAGGGTGGCTCGAGCTTGACTCGACTTGTTTATGCTCATACACAAGTGATTATCCAAAAGCTGTAGGCATTAAAGATGATATTTTATTTGGCAGTTTGTACTTTGCTTTGGAAGAGCAATGCCATCTGTGCGCCTTTTGCAACCTTACTTCTATAATTCAGTTACCCTTGTAGTACCTTTCGATTAATTTCTTTGGCTTCTTTATTGGTGTGTGACCTCTCTAATTTGATCTTATTACTGTTTGATTTGTTGTGTTATTTAAATTATCTCTTAGATTTTTGAGATCTTTCCACCGACTTCAGTATTTATTTCTTTGTAAGTGTAAGCTTTTAATCGGTGATTTTTTTTGGACATTTCTGTACTTATTGTGAAATGGTCTCTTTTCTCATATACTATTGATTTTTAATTCTATAATGCGAACATACTAAAAAAAAAATTCCAGTGGGAATGACATTTTTTTTTTTGCAAAGTTTAGACTAAAGTTTTAGTTTCTATTTGATGCACCTCATAAATTGTTTGATGCTTAGATTTCATATATCATTTTCCTGTTACGAGGGCTTAATAGTTTTGCTTGATATTTAATTGCACTTAGCTTACTAAAGGTAGTTTTAAGCCTTTACTACATGTTTTTTAAGTATATGAAATTGTACAAATTACGTGTCTCGGTTACATTTTACTTTGAGTATTATGGTTTGAAAAATAATATTTAAACCTGCTACTTTATTTGAAAGGTGCTTTCTTTAGTTCTTAAATGTGATAGATTGCAAGATTTTCTGCATTGATTGTATCTTTTCTAGAATGGCCTTTTACTTTGAATTGACAGGGAAATTCTTCAGGAATCTATCTTGGATGTTATGAGGATGGTGTTGCGACCATTTCCTTCAGGTTCTTCAGAACAAATGTCTAAGCCAGTAATTTATGGAGCTTGCTATGCTAACTCAATGGTTTGTTTCAATTTTGCAACCTTTCAGCGCTTATACATATTTGAAGATTGAATGTGCGCATATAATGAATTAAAATCGTTACTCTTTATAGCTTTACGATGTGAGATCCCTGCTTCTGAAGTTCATTGCTCCAGTCACTTACATGTGGCTGCCACTGAAAAGAGGAGAGATTTACTTTGATTCTGGACAAATAGATGCTCATAGTAGCTTCAGTAGATCTGAAGGTAGCGCTTGTTCACGGCAGTTGTGGATATGGTTACATCCTGCTTCTTACAGAGAAGGATTCAATGCACTGAGTTATGCTTGTCAGAAAGAGGTATCGCCATTGTCGACATTGTCCTCTTTTCTACTGAAGGATGGTTTATGATTGTAATATCAACCATTCGTCAATATATAAGAAGAAAATGAAATGTTTTTAATATGTGAATCTAATGCTTATACTTATTTTATTTTATTTTAATTTTGAATGTGAGAATACAGTGTTTTCCTCTTATGAAATTTGATGAATGCTCTACATTGGAATTCCTTCTGTCATGTTCATACAGATGAATGAGACAGGTACCTCTGTACATTGCCTTTCTATGGAGGGACATATTGCAAGGTTAGAAGTCATCGGAGCCAATTCACTGAAGATTCTCCAGAACATACTAATTCCTGTTACAGAGTAAGCGTAGATATACCACGAACTTCAATTCAGTCAGTCCTCATTTTTATTTCCACTGTTGCAAATATTTTGATAAATTGGCAGGTGTCCATCAATTGGTAGCCAAGCTCTATTGCCTTGCTCTTCATTGAGAGTGTGTTCAAATTCCCAGTTAAATCGTAGTTTTGTTCTTGAACATGCTGATCACCTTCCATCTCATGCCATTTTTCCATTAGAAGTTCAGGATCCCCGAAATTTACCTGTGAATGAAACCAATATTTTTCCTAAGACGGCCAGTTTTGCTGGCTGCCCACAGCATCAGGGTCCTGTTCATGATTCCAGTGTCAGTTGCTCTGAAGAATCAAGTGGGAATAAAGACTTGTTGCTTTCGTTCTGGTCAAAACCTGAAACCAATGGAGTTTTTCTTTCTGATTGTAGACAATTATGGGATTCTTATATAAATTTGAAACCTCCGTTGCCAGAAAATATTGTCTGCAAGGATAGGCATTGCAAGCGCTTAAAACAATTCTATCTGGATCCTTCCCATTCTGAAGAGTCAGGTGGTGAAGCAAGAGTTGGTTATGATCAGACTGTCCCCATTGTACTCTTAAGGCATCCAGAACATGGAACGTTTACTTCTGGGTAAACAGCAATGCAAATTGTTATGTTACTGTCTCTGCCTTTAGTGCTGGTAATAGTTGCTTCCTTTAAAAAGTCATTTATTGATTTTATTTTTATTTTTTCTTGCAGTTGGTCCGTAATTCTTCCTTTAAGTTGGGTAAAAACTTTTTGGATTTCTCTTGTCTTAAATAATGCTCATGCAATTGGATTAAGAGAAAAGCGGTGGATAGCTTGCAATGTGAGTTGCCTTAATCAAATTGTGGAAAAATTCTAGACTTCAGCTGTAGAAATGTTCATTATCATGATAAAGAGAATTTGTTTTATGATGAAAATGATCTCATCTCCAGAATTTATTTGAGTTTCCTGCCTGTGAAATTTTATTTTCCTAAGCTTCTCTTTGCAGGGTGGATTACCTTCATTCCCATATGATTTCCCTGATTCCAGTGCATACACATCACTTGTGGCTGCTGAAGCTGCAGAAGCTGATGAAGCTGCTAAGCTCCGACCTCCTGCTGTAAGACCAATTAGTTTTCCCTTAGCTTCGCCGTGGCATTGTGTAGCTCATACTCTTCATAGAGGTTTTAACACTTGTGAGTCATGCTATACTGCTAGACGAAAAGCTCATGGCATGTCATTTAGCGTAGAGTGTCGAGATAGCAAACAATCCTCGGATGAGCATGCCAGTGACCCTTTTATTGTTTCAATTTTAAGAACAACAAATAATTTAAATCATATTTTCGAAAAAGCCAGTGGTGAAGGATACCTAGACCAAGTTGGAGGACCTTTATTTGTGAGAGTTCTGATTCATGCATTCAAGGAAGGTTCTTTTGAAGCAGGAGCTGTTGTCTGTGCCCCTGCGCTTGCAGATCTCCCGACATGGATGTCTAGGTCATGAACATATCTTATCTTTTCTGTTAGCAAAATGGCTTGTTTTTTTTTCACATTTTTGGTGCAGTTCAATCATGCGTTACCAGTGTCAGGGAACAATTTAGATTAGCCTTTTCTATTTTTATGTTTCACCTGGCAAAATATCTGGCTTTTCACTTCGAGGCTTATGATAATTTCTTTTAAAACCACAGATCGGACATTCTCCACTACAGATGTCACAGTCCTTCATAAAATCTTATTTCACAAGGAAAGGTTCTGAACAGTGGGAACTACATGTGCCGCCACAGGATAGCTCAATACTGCAGTGGTACAGATGGCCAATTGGCTTCATTACTACTGGCTTCGTTCGTGGAAGGTTTGCCACCCTTTTGAACTAGGTGTTCATAGCATATTTTCAACTTAACAAGAAGCCAAATGAGCTCTTTTTATATTCGTCCCATTTAAAACTGTTAAAGATTACTTTTGAAGCCAGCTCTTGGTTAGCTAGAATCGTAACTCTGATATTCTTGAACAAAACTTATCAGGAGTTGGGACTTGTAAGGAAGTTTAGTACAACAAATCTTAGAAAAATTTGTGCAGTCATTCAGGTTTGAGTTACTTATCTATTCTGTATTCTGATTGACAGTGGAAAGCCTGTTGCGGTTGCATTCTGTGAAGCAAGAATCCTTAAGAGGCTGAAAGAGCAGCAAGCAACAGTGATGGATTCAACAGGACCTGAGATTTTTGTGCTGGTCAGAAATTTGAAATCAAGTACTTATCGACGAGCTGTTGCCACTATTTTCCTAGATCTGGCAGTTGAAGATCTAGGCTGGATGTAAGGAATGAAGAACCTTTCCAACTCTCATGACATTCCGACAAAAATATAGGTGACGTCTCCCTGAAGGTTCGAAGGGATGCTGCAAAATTAAGGGTTAAGATTGCATAATTATTTTATTTATTTGTATTTTTTGTATGCATAGATCATGATGAAATATGGGTTTGCATGTCAACCAGTTTGTTGAGTTAATTAATTTTTAATTTCTATGGCTTTATCAAATGGATTATAAGTGTTGAATCTGAAATTGCCCGTGAATCACACCCAAAGAATAGAGCGTAAAAAAAACGAGCAAGAGAGAGAAAAATAGTAATGAACAATGTTGAATAATGTTATTTTCATAACATGTTCCACCTTATTTATAGGGGAATGTTAGTATGGTGATATTATATTTTTGCACCCGTTTGGAGGGGTCCATACTTGGATATTACCGGTATTTTATAAGTGTGGGCTTATTGTCCAACTACTTTTTAACTCGATTGACTAAGATACATTGACTTCGGGTCGATGGGGTCAGTTCAGTCGGCTGAGCTTGGTCATTATGGTGCTGCCGGTTGATCCAGTCTGGTTGACTATCTTCAATTCCTGTTGAGGAGTCTTTGGATTCTACTTGAGATGATCGAAAGTACTTTCTGGAACTGGATATTCTTTTGGATTGTCTCTACTTAGGGGTTGGCTAATCTCTATCGCATTGTCCTCTTTTGGTCCGTTAGATCTATTTAAGATTAGTGCAGACACTATTGTGATGTAGAATAAGTTTATATACTGAGGATATTTTTTAAAGGGGAAAATTTGAAATTCTTTCTATTATAGCAGTGTATGCTCTCTCTCTCTATCAATCTTTCAGAACTTTGTAATATCTGCTTAGCCTTTTGAATTTGCGGCAGTTAAAATCTTTTTTTCTTTTATTTGAACTTCTTGAGGGAGAAAGTTGGAACTCATCATTATTTCTTTTTTTTTTCTTCTTTTGATGTTAACACCAAGTAATGAATTTTTTAATTTTTGTGAGGTTAAGCATGTTAATTATTTCATAACTTTTTTTTTTTTTTTGTCATGGAATGGAAAATTAAGAGTTGGGATTGATATGGGACCTAGATGGGGTAGTCATTAATTTGTAGCTTCTATTGCGTGATTATTCTATGGAGGTGCTCCTTATCTTCGACAGCTCCTCAAGCTGTTCTGCTGAAGCCATTCTTTTGTTTGTCGAAGGCAATACTACAAGTTTATATATATATAACAGAAATGGCTTCATTTCTCGAACTATTTAATATAAAATATTTTTTATATTAAATTTTTTTTTGCAATTTTTAATATATTTTTGTTGTGAGAAATTGTGTTTTACAATTAATTATTAATGAAATAATTAAAACTTTGAAATGTATTGGAGGATCGTTAACACGCACTGGAACTCTCAATAGTCAACACCAACAGTGAACTTCAAAAAGAGATCCCTAACAATTTAGGTCGAGCCCAAACGCTGCGCTTGCTATTACCATGCGTTCAGGAGATAGCTTTTCATACTTCACCTTATGTTTGGCTTTTACTATCATTGGTTTCTTACATAAACTTGTAATACATGTGATTTTACCTTATGCTGATATGAAACACATTAATATTTTAATTAATAATTGATGTTGGAATCAAATTGTAAAGCATTCGCAAATAAAGTTCTTGCTTTTTAGCACCACGAGAATGCGATTTGTATTCATTCAATAATCAATAAATAGAATAAAGTAGCCCAATTATTTATGATTCAATCATGCCTCCATAGCAACCACCCAATTCAAATGAGCAACCCAATCAACACTTGAATAATGTTAAGATGCATTCATCAAAACATGGCTACACGTATTTAACAGCATTTTCAGACAAGAAAGCCAAATAATTTGCAGTGCAATAATAGCAAAGAAAAAGCTAAGTTTTCTGCTGGGAGTATTGAGGAGATCCAAAGCCTGGTGGCCCCCTCACCCCTCTCTTCTAACATTAATATTATTTACCAATACTTCACAATGCTCAATTACTCGCGGAGCACCACATCCTTCATGCGTTAAATGTCAGTGGGCAAATTAATTAACCCGCCGCTTCAAGCGTCTGCTTGCGTTCCCGCCGTACCTTGGGAAGCTGAATTGGTGCGCTGCGGAGCGCGATTCATAAACGTGTTCCACTTTCTCTGTCGCATTTAATACAGCACCGCTCAGCCTTGGAAGCGATACTCTCTTTGTTCTTCTTGTTTACTTGGGAGTTGGGAATGGAGAGTCCGAATCAAATAACGGCGGGTCAGGTACATGCATGATGCATTGAGCCAAATTCGGAAACTTGGTTCAATGGCTTCATGTTTTGTTAACTTCGTTTGAATTATGAATTGCTTTGCTTTCGTGCGAAATATTGTAAATCCTGAAAGCAGTAGCTTCTGAGAACTTTTGGCATGATAGAATCAGTTCGATGCATGTTTTCGCTTCCATCCAATCCGTTGGAGGTCTCTTCTATAATCTTAGATTACTTGTATATATCTAAGGACTATTTTTAAGTTCTTACCCGAAAAAATATTGGAGGCGGCCTAAATCTCTTAAATTTTATTTCTCCTAGAACATGGGGAAAATAAGATTTATGAATATATTTAGTATTAAAAAGAACAAAAAAAGGGTAGTAAGCAGGTTTTAATTTACTCGGAAACCTGTTTAACAATATTTAGCCGAAATCCTCGCAAAAATCTTTCAACCAAACTACCCCTTGCTTTTCATGGGACTTGTGTATCTTTGGAAGAAACAGTTGAACCAGATTCCTGTGCTTGATTATATTTATGAAGTTGGGAATTGACAATACATTGTTGGTCCCAAAGTTCACTAGTAATTTCACTTTTTTTTTTTTTTTTTTTTTTTTTTCTAATTTTGTTAGTTAAATACTATATCTGCTCTGATTTGATGTTCTGATGATGGGAAACTGAGTGAACTACAGTACTCATTTCCTTGGTGCCCCAGAAAGATGAAAGATTTCTATTTTTATTCAGCTGGAAATTGGAATGTTGAACTGGAAAAGAAAATACAATTCAAAGCTGTTTTTTTTACTTTGCAGGTGTCTATTTTACTTTGTTACATCCCTATTTTTTTAGTCTGGGTGTACTCGGAGTTATTGCAGCACTGGAAGCGAAAACACAATTCAATGCTGTGAGTTTTTTGCATACGTATAACTGTCAATAACACAATTGTAACATGTGATTCTTGAAATGTTTTGAGGTTTAGAAACTACATCGTCTTTCTTTCAGTGGAAAACCTTCTGATGCCAATTTTGCTTTTCTGAATCCTGGGCAAGCTAGGGAAGATGCTGAAACTCTTCTACTAGAAGGAGGCCTTGTAGCAGATTCTTCAGAAACCTGCAAATTTTTACCCATTGTCAGGTCTCTATTATTATTTTTGTTTCTGGCATAAAATAATTTGCTTCTGGTTGAAACCATGTTCTTCTATGGGATTGTTTAGGTTCTTCTGTTTGGACAAGGAGTTTTTGATTGAGAATCGTTTAATCTTAAGAGCCATGTGAGCAATGTTTTCCTTAGCTTTTGGATTCAATTATTGTTTTCCATGGTGAGGTTGTATTGACTCAATCTGGCTGAACATTTACAGGATGGAATTTGGAGCTCTTCTGCTATACTATTATATTTGTGACCGGACTGATCTCTTTCGAGAGTCAACAAAAGTAACATTTGCTCTTCTAGCTGTGATTTTTTATGTTTGTATACGAAGCACAGTCTTCCATAGATATTACTGACTAAAAATTGCTAGATCCATCATTGTTGCAAAATTTTATGATAACTTTTTGTGGTAGTTGCCGTTTGTAAGTTTATTGTAGTCTTTAGTGGAGGGTCGGCATTTCTACCATTGATTAGGATTGACGAATGAGAAAATGGGGAATTCTATCATGACATTCGATGCAATTTGAAAGACACCCTTAAATGCAATTATAATAATGATGATTAGATTAAAAGGACCCATATGAAATGTCACTGAGAATTTTAGCTTTAAGAGAGAGAAATAGAGAAGTTCAACATTTAAAAAGAAACTAGATAGAAACTCTGTATGCCATCATCCTGCAGGCAATATATTCAAAAACATCTCCAGGCTACAAGAATAGGAATTCTTTCTATAAAATCTGAAGACAAGGGTGCTTTTTGAGATTACCAACTCTAATATTTTGATTTGTCAAGCTTTTGTTGAACCCATTTACCCATTGGACCAAACGATATATTCCACATGCAAGAAATTTAATTGTTAGTTCAAAATCCAGCTCAAATCACTTTAAGGGTGAAAATAAACCAAAAGGGTAAAGGAACTAAGAAAAGAGAGAACAACAAAAATTATGAAGTGATAATGATGAATATATCTTTCACCAATCCTTTTGTGATGCACTTTCAAAGATTCAAATTTAGCTTCTTGCATTCATTGGAGAAAAATAAAAAGAACAAAAATTTCTATAAGTTGGCATCCATACAACTTGCATGGGCCTCTTTTATAGACTGAAGCAATCAAAATACGCAACCAATAAAAGGTCAAACCTTCCATTTTTATAGGCCTCAAATGGTATAATTTGACAACTTTCTCATATATTTTTATACTATTGGGTTGATTGATTGGGACAAATAAATTCTTCCATAAGTAAAATCAATATATGCCCATATATGATCACCAATGTGAAATCCTAGAAGATCCCCAAGTCTGCTATCTATCACTTCAAATTAACCATCAATTCGTTGAGTTGCAAAAAAATGGGAATGTGATATTTTCCAATATAATTTACAAAATAATTTTTTTTTAATTTTTTTATTTTGGGGCATTTACATACATACCAACAGTTCCTATTTTTTTACATATCTAACACCTAAATTTTATTTTTTACAGTTATACCATCCAAATTTTTTATATAGCATAAAAAAAGCTACTTTGTTAACTTTTAGAAAGTGAATACACCTTTTCATGCATAAATAAGGTGGCGTGTATGTAAAAATTGAAGTTCAGGTGCTAGATATGTAAATACATAGGAATTGAGTGGTATGTATCTAAATATTCCTTTATTTAATGCATTCACTTTAAAATTATCGTTTTTCTAACACTCAACTTAGCAATCAGTGGATTTTCTTATCGCCAACATTAAAAATCATATGATGCAAGATGATTTAGGATTATGATTTCCTAATGCAACTTAAACGATATGATGCATTTAAATTATGCAAAGGCCTTTACGATTGATAACAAGCCTTTAGATAAGCTAATAATTTGGCTTTCCTCTTATACAAATTATACGTATGAAAATTATAACTCAAGTTATAACGAAATGATTGAATAAATTTAAAGAAATTATTGAGAAATTTGAATCACACAATATCAAGCAATTATAAAATAATCACCACAATTAGAATCTAAGCTGTATCAAAATTTGAACAAAATTAGTAGCAGTAATAAGCTAGTAATAAGATGTAAAAGAAATTAGACTTTGAAAATAAGTCACCAAAGCCTTAGTTTCATGCTAGTACCAAAATACGGCTTCCTTTGAAATTAGGTAGTTGTACTGCACTTGAATTGGTCACATCCAATTTGTGCACTCTATAATACAACAACAACAAAGCTAATCATTCACGTTTTTTTCAAACATCTACGTATAGATTGTACATCTTTTGATCAATAATTATAGTTGGCCTACAATTTACCCAATTTGATTTCAGATAAACTTCACCTTCAACCACATAAATCTCAGGAACAGGGAGCAGCGCAATTGCCGCATAAAATTTTCACATATCCCGTAACAACCTTGCTGAGCTGTGATCTTTTTCATAATTTTCTGTTGTTTCAAGTTATTTTACAAGTATATGCTTACTGTGGCAACTCTCTTTTCAGAATTACAGCAGGGACCTTTTTTGGTTCTTGTACTTTCTGCTCATCATTGTAGCTGCCATGACTTCCTTTAAGGTCCATCACGAGGCATCAACATTTTCAGGAAAGGCCATAATGTATTTGAATAGGCATCAGACAGAGGAGTGGAAAGGTTGGATGCAGGTTGGTTGACAATTTTGTTTCGTTTATCTTAATCTCTTGAAGCTTCTTTGTTTTCAGCACCTCTAAAGTTCAATAAATTGATCCAAAATTTATATTTGATTTGCTTTTGCTAGTTTAATTCCACATTTTAGTTACCTATTATGAATCATTTTTCATGTAAGCTTATAGATTCATCTGTTTGCGTTGTGTATTAGTTTAGGATTTGCAATTGTTCTTGAAACTTGAGAACAAACTTCTTACAGCAATATGACAACATTTCATTTCCTTTACTCCAAGTTGACATTTGAGCTATGTTATTGATTGTCTAATCTACTGCTGCTCATATTTTCCAGGTATTATTCTTGATGTATCACTATTTTGCTGCAAAAGAAATCTATAATGCAATCCGTATCTTTATTGCTGCATATGTGTGGATGACTGGATTTGGTAACTTCTCTTATTACTATGTTCGAAAGGATTTCAGCCTTGGACGGTTCTTTCAGGTATATGTAAATGCTATAGCATCCAAAGTTTCCTCCTGCAAGGCTGAATATACTGCTAATATGAGTTTTTTTTTACCTCCTCTTTAAACAGATGATTTGGAGACTTAACTTCTTTGTAGCATTTTGTTGCATTGTCCTTAACAACCATTATATGCTCTATTATATCTGCCCAATGCATACATTCTTCACTCTTATGGTCTACTGTGCACTTGGATTTCTGAACAAATATAATGATAGAGGTTCAGTCATTACGATCAAAATTGCTATTTGTTTTCTAGTGATATTTTTTGTATGGGAGATACCTGGTGTATTTGAGGTTGTATGGAGTCCATTCACATTCCTCTTAGGTAAGTCCCTCCATTTTCCTTTTTTCTCAGTTTTCCTGCTTTATTTTTTACTCGCTGAGGATTTGCAAACTGCTGCAATAAACGATCTTATAGGCTACGTTGATCCGAGTGCAAAAATGAAGTATCCGCCTCTGCATGAATGGCAATTTCGTGCTGGACTTGATCGTTATATCTGGATTGTGGGAATGATTTATGCATTTTACCATCCAACTGTAAGCATGAATGTTTCAGTCATTTATATTGTTGTAGAGAGGCTCTCTCACATATTGGTAATTAAGTTGAGCAAGTAAAATTATCTATCCTATGCTTTTGATGCTACTTCTACTGTAGGTTGAGAGATGGATCGAAAAGCTTGAAGAAGCTGAATTTAAACGGAAAATGTTAATCAAAGCTTCCATAGTAACATTTTGTGCAGTGGTAAGCTTTCCTACGATATATTCATTACTTCTATCTGATTTCTGCTTGTATCATTGAGTTATAAAATTTGCTTGTTTGTTTTTATGTTCTCTTTTTAAGCATTTGATGTAACATTTTGCAATCAGAGAATTCTTTTGTTTTTCAGGCTGGATATTTATGGTATGAATTTGTCTACAAGCTGGAAAAGTACACGTACAACAGATATCATCCCTACACCTCATGGATACCGATTACGTATGCATTTTTCTCTTTTATGTTTTGATTTATGATTTATTCACCCGAAATTATAGAGAATTTTTTCCTTCTTTATGAATGGCAGTATCTACATTTGCTTGAGGAACCTAACTCAGGAGTTTAGGAGCTATTCACTTACGCTCTTGTCGTGAGTGTTTTATATTCCATTTTTATTGGTGTTTTCAATTAATCTATGGAATTTCTAATGATTAGTTCTTATATTCTCCATCAGTTGGCTTGGAAAGATAACACTGGAAACCTACATATCACAGTTCCATATTTGGCTCAGGTAATTGATTTCAAAACTATTATTCTTTTTCTGTTTTTGTTTTTAATGGTTGTCTGAATCTTTTCCTCGTCATTTTAGAACTGGAGGGCCAGATCGACAGCCAAGCATGCTGCTTTCTCTAATTCCTGGTTACCCAATGCTCAACTTCATGCTCACATCTGCTATTTACATCACGGTTGGTTGGCTCAAATTTTTTATTTGTTCTTGTTTGTAATCTGCTTAGAAAAGTTGCTCACACACCACTCATTTTATTTATATTTACAAATGCAAATCTAACCACCACTTCAAAAAATAAAAAAAACCAAAGCATTGAACCAAGTATTTCTGCATTGTGAATTTGACGAGATTTTGTTAAGAATTTTGAAATTTGAGCAAAAATTTGATGACTGGAGGTAGGAGGGTAGCAATTTTATATGTATGCAATATTTGAATATTACAAAGAAATTCTCTTAATTTTCTTAATGTTGCCATAAAACTCACATGTATGGGAAAAAAAAATCCGGCGACATATAGATCCATGAGAATGATAAGAGGCCACAAATCATGGCCTGCCAGGGTTCAACAAAAAAGGCCCCAACCAAAAAAGTAGTACATAGAACAGGTTGCAAACAGATAAACAATTACTCAGATATCATTTGTCTCAAAAAGAAAAGAAAAAAAAGACAAAAACTTATAATATCTCCCATTTTTTTTTTCAGATTGCCCATAGAATCTTTCAATTGACCAACCGGCTAAGGATGTTCTTCCTACCCAGCAGCAGCGATGACAAAAATCTGGTTTACAAAATCATTGCAGCAGCCATTTTTTGGATCATCTTATACTGCTTATCAGTGTTGTTGCTGAGGCTCTTATGGATCATGGTAAGAAATGGCGACCAACTTCAACTGCTAACCATATTCATTCAATTTGACTCGACATTTACTAAATCCTTTTCTCATTTCTTTCAGGGTATGCGGTCTTAAGATAAATTTGTGTTCGGCTTTGCTTGCATAAATTTATGTAAATTTGTTGTAATAAATGTGTGTTTTCCTCCTCTTTTCATGGCATGTAACATTATCCAGAAAAACCATTATTGGCTGTTTTGGTACGTTGAGCATCTGTTAAATTTCTGTTTCACCCCCTCTTTTTATGATGAAATTTGAACTCATATTTTGTAAGTCGATGTTCAATGTTGTGCTAATTATAACCAAATTAATGAACATATGAAGGACAAGTTATATACTTTGATAGAGCATAGGCTATGAGAATATAGCAATTTTGGAGAATTAATTTTATTTCATGTTAGATGATGACAATATATTTTAACCATTTTTTTTATATATATTAAGACTGTTGATGGAGAGAGTGAATATAATAAAAATGAGGAGGATATGATTACAAGTTTAAAAAGTTATAGAATTAATAGAAAATAGAACTTGAGTGTATGCTATATAATATTAATGATATGATGTTAACAATTACTCTTTAATGTTAATTAAAAATTATATGATTTTAAGATAAGATGGATTATAAGTTTTTGATTTCTCAATGGCCGTCCGGAGAAGCTTCTAGGGCATCTCTTCTCCGAAGCAAATGCCCTTGGATAGAAGGTCTGCGACTTGGTTTTCTGATTAACATGCTTAAATCTGAACTCAACAAACTTTCATATCTCCTTCTTTGTCTTGTTCAAAGTGTTTGGACATCATTTCTTCTCTTACTTCAAATTCTCTGTTGACTTGATGCACAACCAGTTAAAAATCTAATTTTACTAGTTGATGTAGAGCGCCCTTCTCTTAGGCTAAACGTAAGCTGGCTATCAATGCTTCATACTCCATGTGGTTTTTGTTGACTTTAAACTCGAGGGCGACTGAATGTTAAAGATGCTCTCTGGTTGGATTGCTCATTGTCAGTCTGATTTCTGCTCACCTGACACTAGACTCCGTCGATGTGCAAGATCCATGTTCTGTCACTAGTGTTAGTTCTTTCACTCGGTTCTATTTTTTCGGAGAAGTTTGTCAAAAAGTCTGTTATAGTTTGATCTTTGATTGTCGTCCAGGGGATGTAGGAAATATATTCACCGGGCTCCACAACCCACTTCAGGAGTCAATTGGAATGCTTCAACGGATTGAGTATACATTTTAGGGGCTGGTTAGTGATGCCCTTATTAGATGTGTCTGCAAATACGGGCAAGGCTTGTGAGTAGAGATAATTATAATAGATTTAGTTTTTTCATGATAGTGTACATGACTTCAGTGCCTCTAAGGGCCTATAGCAGATTGAGAATTTCTTTCCCAACTCCTCCCAAACCAAGATTGAGCTGATAGCCTCGAGCCCAACTCCCAAATAAAGAGAGAGTTCTTCCCTTAGTTTTGAACTTTGTAGTAGCAGCGGTGAAGCTAGTGATTGCTTTAGGCATTGGAACACTTTCTCACATTTGGTCTATCATTCAAAGCTTTTGGATTTCTTTAGCATTTTGAAGAATGTTGCTGGACTTCAAAATGAATCAGCTGAGTGCTATTATCCGGTAGGTCAGCTTTTGCATATCCTTATCATAGGCATAATCAATAGTGCTTGTACTTTCTCAGGGTTGGTCTTTATTTCTTTGGGTTTCAGGAGTTATCCGATGAAATTTTTGGGTCGATGCTTTGAACATGTATTTTAGTGGATTTAGCCTCATATTAAATTTTCTTTGTGTTTGGATGGTTTCTTTTAGGTCGATAACATATTTTTTAGTCGATTGACTCTTAAACAAGACACCTCGATATTTTTTACTTTCTGATTAAAAAAGATTACATTCATGAGGCATTGATTAGTCACTTCAACATTTTTAATCATAAAGGGCATAACATTTTTGCAGTATAAACCCTTATTAGTAATACATGTCATTTTTTTGTGTTGGCGAGATGCATCTTTATCTGATAGTATTGATATAAATAATCTAGGAAGCTCATCATAGAATAAACAATCTTTGAATTTACCAGAGCGTCAATCCTAGGTAGGGGGTGGTCGTCCTTAGAGCAGGCAGTGTTCAGGTTTGGGAATTTCACACACATTCTCCATTTGTCGTTTGACTTTTGAACCATGACTATATTTGAGATACGGGTTGGATATTGTACCTCCCAAATGTAGATTACCTTCTCAAGCTTCTGCACCTCTTCGCGGATTTCCTGACTAACATCAAGGTTGATATTATCATCTTCTGCTTCGTCGACTGGGAAACTGAATTAACGTTCAGGTGGTGGCAGGCTACATCGATCGGGATGCTTGGTATTTCAGCGGCTAACCAGACAAACCCATCTGACAAAGAGTTTGGATCAAAAAGTATTTGTGTTTGCATCAAAATTTTCACTAATTAAGAAAAAATTACCTAGTTCTTCGTAGACACCAATAATCTTTATAGTGGTCTCATCGGTCTTGAGAGCCCTATCGTTGTTTCCAAATATCAAATGACTTTTGTTCCACATTGTTGACTGCCCGGAGGTGAATGTGCGAGACTGCTCCAAGTTCCCCCTCACAATAATGATTTCTACGTCGCATAAAATTTTACTGTGAAATGGCATGTAGTGAGCAATGGGAAACCAAAGCTTGTATTATAGGTGGTCGGCGTTTCAATAACCAAAAAATCTTTCATCTTTATAAACCGATGATTGATAGTCTGCTTATTCTCAGAGCTCCTTTCATTTTCTCGAGAAACTTTAGAGTGGGCCGGTGCATCAGCTGGCCGGTTGATAGATGCATCTTGTCAAAGGTTGGCTTCAACAAAATATTTCTTGAATTGTTAGTGTCAACCAGAATAATACTCACCTGGTAGTTGTTTATCATTGTCATGACCACAATGACCACAATAACGTCTCAGTAAAAATGATCGGAGGATGAGGTTTCTCCTTTGGAGTGAAAGAGACAGAGCAAAGTTATCCTATTTGGAGCCTCTTATCGTTGGCTCATCGAACTGAGTCTTCTCCCAGAATGGTTGGTACTATCTTTGTGATGTGGATAGCATTTGCTTAAACAACCTCATCATAATGTTCTCATATTGGGGCTTTCTCGCCTTTAGGTTAACGTACGTGGGGCCATGAACTCTTTGGATTTTTTGGCCTGAATCAATTTTTTAACAAGGCCCATAAGGTGTATGCACTCATCCATTTCATGGTCGTGGTTGTTGTGATGCTTATAAAATTTATTTGTGTTCCGAAGAAAAGCTCTAGTTCTCATTGGTGGGGCCTTTCTGAAGTATTCCTTTTTTGTATAGCCTCCACCAACTCCGTGATCGAAACCCTCAACTGAGTGGCTTTTGGTACTATTTGTTCTTCTGAAGATCGGTCGTTTTACCAACTCTATCCTCTGAAGTGGTTTTTGTCAGCCCCTCTACTATCACGAGGCGATCAATTATCTTCACATCTCGGGCATGGACCGTCTTTCAGCATTCACCCATCATCTCATGGGGCTCTCTTTTGTGAAAGATTGTCGGCTTGTTTGGCTCTCTGATGGGATGGGATGGGTGGATATACTGTTCCACTGCAATGTGGTGATTGACCAACTCCAAGAATTCATTCAGGCTCTTAAGTTGTTGCAAACCCATGACATACTTGAATCTCTTGCTTTTGAGCCCTTGGACCAGGGCAACTTGTGCTACCACAAGTTATGGATCGCGAACTTCCAACATTCCTTTATGGAATTGAGTGATATACAAATAAAGATTTTCATTTGACCCTTGTTTGATGTGCCACAGAGTATGTGAGTTTTTACGGGGCTTGTGGGCGCTGGTGAACTGCGTCGTAAATATCTTCTTGAATTTAGTAAAGGAAATGATTACTCATATTGGGAGACCATTGGACCACCTGAGTCCCGAGGCCCTCAATGTGGTGTAAATAGTGTGTCATAAATTTTGAGAAGGTCGACGACTGAATCAAAGGAAGCAACATGGTCGGTTGGATCACTGACCCTTATATGCTTCTAATGAAGGGAGTTTGAACTTTTTTGACGGCTCAGTGTCAGATATTTACATGGAAAACATATTCTCCGGATGGCGGTAGATCTCAATACACCTAAATCGTTGTTTGATCAATGGTGTAGACCCAACATTTTTCTGGTACTAGGTGCTTTCCAACTTTTTTGTCCCTCTGAGTTGTTCAATGACCTTAGGGTTTTGGTTCCTTTTATAAAGGGTTATGCTCTCGGTGCGCTTGCACTCTTCCCTCAAGTATCGCGAGGGTCAATTTTGCCATTTGTCCCGTCATTTGATCTCTAAGTTCTTGGATTTGTTGTTGCACAAAATCCCTTATGCACTCCATATTTGCGGTCTCTTAAATGAGTATGATCCACATTTACCACACCTTTTAGAATGTTGAATCCAGATATGTTCTGTGAATCATACCCCAGGTATAGAGCGTAGGATAAATGAGAAAAACAGAGAGAGGGAGATTTTGTGTGTGTGTGTGTGTGTGTGTGTGTGTGTGTGTGTGTGTGTGTGTGTGTGTGTGTGTGTGTGTGTGTGTGTGTGTGTGTGTGTGTGTGTGTGTGTGTGTGTGTGTGTGTGTGTGTGAGAGAGAGAGAGAGAGAGAGAGAGGATAATAACACATGAGTTTTGATAGTAAATTAATTAGTCCCAGATTATAAGGACCCCCTCTTTATAGATTTCAGGGGTATCTAGTTTAAAATTACAAGTTTGAAACCCTAGAGACATTATAAGATATTATAACACATTTTCATATTTCTAACCGACTCTGATACCCTTTCATACTCATAACCAATCTTAGCTTTGTTTCATATTAATAACTGTTTGAAGAGAGACATTTGATGACCTGATATTCTTTTCTCTCGGATGAATGAAATCCTTTGGTCATCGGTCGACAATCATTCAACAGGCCAAAACATTGTTAGTCGGATTTCTCAGGAGAGAATTTTGAGGAGAGACCCTCTTGTCATTAAGATGAACTAGAGCGTCAGACAGAGGATGTACCACCGTAATCTGAGGGACAACTCTCCTTTGACGATGAGTCTTCCTAATGATGTTTTTATCTTTTGACTATCTCTATATACTATCCTTTGGTGTTCATAAGCGAGGTCTGCCAGATTTCCTTGATATTCATGCAGATATATTTTGATGTACATGATATATATTTTGATGTACATGATTTAAATATTAGTTATAAAAAAAAGTATTAGTTATAAAAAAAGTATTAGTATTTAAGCTTAGTGTCATAAAAATGAAATTATTAAGAGAATGTATTTAAGGAATAAGTATATTAAAGAAAAAGTCTAATGCCGTCTATTTTTAGATTAGGTGATTAAAAATAGATTTTTCCGCTTAGATTGCATAATGAATAATATCTTTGTTGGAAACTTTTACAAAATAAATGGAAACAGAGAGCACATAAATATGATCTCTACTTCTAAGTTACTGTGAATAAGAGCTTGGAAGGAAGAACCTGAAGAACATAGAAAATTGATTCACATAACTCTGCTGTGGATGACGGATTTTTTTAAATATATTAATAATATAATTATTCTAATTTAACATACTTAATTACAAAAATTAAGAGTGTAGGAAATCAGGCCAATGTGTGCACTGCAACCTGATCCTAAAAATAATAGCGCTATAATCACACAGTTAATCACATATCAATAACAATGTTTTCTTTGATAATAATGAAAGTAAGTTTTAAAATATGTGATTGGTGGAAGTATTTTTTATTTCTTATGAAATATTGATTCCGCAGATAAATAAAGAAAATATTATAAATTCAAAACTTTATTGTTGCCAGATTCCTTACAAATAGGAGTTGAGGTGCCGCCGTTTGCGTCTGGCCTCTGAAAATATTATGTATTGTGTCGCCTGTCACCTCTCTACCAATAATTCTGAAAGGGTCAATCCGAAGGTCTCGCTGCTCTTCCCATGCCTTGCCTCTTGAGAGGCTTAACTCCAACGAAGAAGTTCGGTTTTGCTGCCGGAGTTTCAAAAGCGTAGTTTTTGCGAAGGCTGAAGCATGAACATTTCTGTGACGAGGCAAAAGTTCGCGTTTTTTATTTGTTAGGTGATGGGCTCTATGTTTTTTCCTCCTGATTCCGTGGTTTCTCCTTCCAAGGAGCAGGCTTTTGGCATTGATCTCGAGATTGGTGCGAATTCAATGGTCAGTGAAAAAGAAGGGCGAAGCGGTGATGTTTCCTGCATTGGAATGGTGACGGATGATCGAAACGTTATGAGCTCGCCCAAAGATTTATCTAGGGTTGATGGTCGGCCTTCTGATGAGGGGAAAGTTAGATACTTTGTGGGACAGGATGAGATGAGCCTCATGGAGAGCAAGAGCGGGAAGGAGAGGGTGAAGGAGAAGTCTCTGAGAAAACCTTCCAAGCCCCCAAAGCCGCCAAAGGCTTTGTCGCTTGATCCTGCGGAGCAGAAGATAGCGAGAGAGATGGCCGAGCTTGCTGTTCAGAAGCGTTTGAGGATGGAAAGGATGAAAGCAATAAGAAACATGAAGAATGCGAATGCAGGATTCAATATCGGCAAATTCTGCGCATTGTTTGTTACTGTTCTCTTCTGTGTCATTATAATCTGGCATGGTATGTTTTTTATATTATTTTCCTGCTTTCCTATTCCTTTTGATATTGTTTATTTACAGCTTTGGGCTCTTGAGCTTTAGATTTTCATAATATGATTAGAAAAGTTTTGTTTTTTGTTCTTATTAGGGCGAAGCCTAAACGTTCAAGTGATTAGGTTTTCTAGGGATAGAGGGTGGGGGGCTAGCGTCCACTTTGATGGCCCTTGGGGCTTTAAATCTAGATTTAGTAAACCTTGAGAGGATTAAAATCCCAAAGCCACTTGGCATCATAACTGTTACATCTTGCTAAACTCTTTTAACATTTTTTTTTTATATCTCTAATCTTTTAGAGAGAGAAATCCTTACATGGTTCTTTGGTTGCAAAGATTTAACCAATATTTAGTTGGCATTTAGGCCAAATTTTATCAAATAATTTAATTTTTGAGCTACAAAAGTCCCTTTCACCTTCTTTAATCACATTTTAGTTGAGGATTTAAGAAAATTACATTCTTCAGTCAAATAATTTTAAGGATTGCTTGTTGGAACATTTTCGAGTCATTCTGAAAAGAAACCCACACAAGCAATTTTATGCCTTGATTTAGGAGGGGATTGTTATGGAATATAGGACGAGATTCGAGCTTGTTTCAGAATGGATGGAGAGATTTCTAAAGCAGGGTTGGAGGAGAATTTCATGGAGGACCTAAAACCTAACATATGGACAATAGTCCAACGGTTGAGACCATAGGAATTGAGGGAGATGGTGGGGGACAATAACTAGATAAAGAAGGCGGGCAAAAGCAACACTATAGGAAAATTCCAAAAGAGTGTCTCGACGAACATGATATCGAGGACCCAAACAATGTCATTTTAGGGGTAGGCGCCAAAAGAGAAGAATATAGGGTCCCGTCCAAGTGTCAACATTAAGTGTCTTATAGAGATAGAGATTCATGAGAGACAAACCAAGAGATTTTATTTTCTGTGTAATGATAAATTTACCCTTGGACACAGTTGCAAACATTACAGTTTTTCACAATGTGTGATGAGGAGGCAGATGATGAACAAACAAAGACGACTGTGATGGAGGAGAAGGAACACTCGCTTTTTTCCATCTTAAGAACAAGGTGCCTTTTTGGAAAGGGAGTATTCTTATGAACTGCCTAAGGTAAATTTTGTCTTTTATTAGCCTTCGGGCAATTTGGTCTTTTATTATTATTATTGTTAGGTATAAATAGGCTTAATAGCTTAGGGTTAGGGTTATGCACTAGATTATTATTATGAATTTTATGGTTGGGGCTTGGGAGAGAATTCCTACTTTTCGAATTGTAGGATTTGGGGAGGGATAGTTTGCCTCTCGAATCGTAGGTTTTTTTCTCTATATTTGTGTTGAGCTGTTTGGATTATTGAAGAAAAATATTTGTTTTGCTCTAATTTATGTGGAAATTCGTGCTGATTTCTACGTCGGATGTTATCAGGCTATTCTTATACGAATTTTGCCTTGCGGTAGTTACATTTGTACCTATTATTAACTCACTAAATTAAAAGCATAAAAAGTTAATTGATTAGCTGTGCTATAAACATATGATTATCAAAGTTTACATGTTATTTGGAATATTTGAATCTCTTCTCCATTCACTCTATCCATCTATTTGTTAATCTCAGATTTCTCTTTCTAATATTCCTTAATTATAATGGCTTTGAGTGAAGAGAGTAGAGGATGCCAAATTTGTAGATATTATATTAAAAAGAACTAAATCAGATTATTATCTTAAGTGAAAAACCAAGTAAAGTTTTAAGTCATTTAAACAACATTTTGGAACGATCTATGACAGAAAAAATTGTTCTTATACCTTAAGTATGACTAGCAGGAACTAGCAAACAAGGGAACCAAGGATTAAAAGGAGCAAGGACAAACAAGTATTAAAATTTGAATGGAATCAAATTGAGCAAGAAATGAAAGCTAATAAAAACATTGATCGGCACATCTCTTGCATTTAAGTGTTATGCTTAAAATGAAATGCAATTTTATCACTAAAATGTGGTTAATTAGTTTCAAATTTTATTTCAGTGTTGATTTTTTATTAAGCTAAAATGAAAACGGTGGAATGCACACATGTTAGCGGTACATAAAATTGCATTGAGGTGTTATCCTTGAAATAAAATGCAATTTCATTGCAAAGAAAAAGAAAACAAAGTTTGGCAATGGCGTGGTAAACTAGTAAAATCATTGAAGAGAAAATTAGAGAGCAAATTTAATTGGCATCAGACTGAATACTGCACCGGTGTCTAGTTCATTTCTATGTTCATCTGAACTGTCCCTAACCATCATAATTATAATTAGCCAGGAAACTTCAGTTAAGAAAGTTACCAGTGCTTATGCTAACTATTGAATTTCGGAACTTGTAGGACAAAATTATTCAGTGTAGTCGAAGTGCTCTAGATGAAAATCACATTCGGCAATTCCTAGTTGTTAATCTAATCAAATTATTGTAGCATTGGTAAGAAGTGCCATTCACGGCCAAAAACCATCAAAATGAAAGAAACTGATTTCTATCACGGAAAATGCGGTCAGACAGTGGAGGGCAATGTACCACAAGAACGAACAATTAGAAGATCTGAACCAAAATTTCAATGGCTTCATATAGCATGGCTTTCGTTCATATGGGCGATCAGTAAACATTCAAATACCAACAAATATTTCATACTAGAGGGTTTTCATCCTTTTAGATTCAACAGCAATTTTTTTTTTTTTTTTCTTTTTGTTCTGTTAATATTTCATGGTATATCTCAAATAGGAGAACCTGCAGATAATATGCTAGGGCTATATTTCCTAATATTGCAGATCATCGAATGAGCAGGGGTAGCTCATAGGACATATATATAGATGCACACACACACGCTAATGGGTTTGAAATCTAGATTTCTGAACAACTGGCAACAGCTACACTTGCCCCCCGCCCCCACGCCTCACCCCCCCTGCTGCTCTAAAGTCACGTTAATTCTACTGATTCCATGGATTTAGTAAGTCCGGAGGTTTATGATGAAAAACCGATGAAATCTTGATTGCGAATTTTAAATGGTCCAAATTGACCATCTGGGATTCTTCTAGAACCCTCCCTTAACTAATACCAAACAGCCCTTTAGATGCTGGATTTAACTGTGATATAGCTTAAATTTTGTCAGAGATTTTTTCCACCCATTAAATCTTAGTGTTTCCGTATTTTCGTTTTCTCCCTCTTTTGATTAAAATCTGCAATTTAGTAAATCTCATTTAACCTAAGTTTTTAATTGATTTAGAACAAGTGAAAAAGTTTCAAATGTACCTACAAGTACTTGTCTAAAAGAAGAAAATGGTGTCCCGTCTACTTCTCTCATTAAATTTTGTTCTCTTCACTCGTCGTTGGTCCCCTTCAAAGCCCTTCTGCAAGAAGATCGTGTTGTCACTTTTGCGCTTCTCTTTTGTTGTCCAATTTCGGGATTTTGGGTAAATGTAGAAGGGGAGAAACGTGAGCTTTGGGAATTAAGTGTTTTTATAATTTTTAACTTTTTATTTTATTTCAATAAACATGTTAATATCAACATCTAAAATTTGAAAATTCTATATTTGAGTTAGTTATTTCAATAATTTTATTTATATCATTGAGTTTCGATATATAAACACATATTAAGAAAATAAATCTGTCATTGATAATTAATACTAAAATATTATTTATATAAGAGTTATTTTTGGTGAATCAAACCAGCTCACAAATTTAAGTTAAATTCCTTAGATCATATAATGTTCTTATCTCTTTATCCAAATGAGATTTTTAAGTTATTTTCTCATTAGTCAGTGCTTCACTTCACGACTATTATCCTATTAATTTTCATATTGAATCTCATATTGTTTATTTCCTAAACCTTTAAAATAAATGCAATTTATTTACTAAGATTTGCTTAGATCTAACATACATCATGCTTATACTTTTTAGGATTTAACCTTCCAGTATTTACTAAAGTACTCATGCATCCTGAAATTTTATTTTAATTAAATAATTATTATAACCAAATAGCCCCTAAATCCATTAAATCTTGTCAATGACAAATTTTACAACTACTGGATTTAACCAATATGTGAGTTTAGATGGGAATTATTAATGCAATAACAACAACAAGGCTTTATGCCACTAAGTGGGGTCGGTTACATGAATTCTTTTTCTCTATTGCGTCCTATTGAGTTCATACTTCAATTTAATTCTAATAGATTGAGATCATTTTTTATACAATATTCCCAATACTTTTTAGGTCTACCTATGTCTTTCTTAACATAAGTTGAATCTAAAACATCCACTGTTCTAACAGGATCATCAGATGGTCGACGTTTAATGTGACCAAACCATCTAAGACGATCCTCTCCAATCTTGTCCACTACTGGCGCTACACCAACCCTATCAAGGATAAATTCATTTTACATTTTGTCTCTAACTGTTAAATATATACCTAAGCATTCTCATCTCTGCAACACTTAACTTTATTTTATACTTCTCCTTAAAAGCCAGCATTTTGCGCCATTGGGCATTGCAAGTCTCACCACCGTCTTATAAAATTTTCTTTTAACTATATGCGGTACTTTTCTATCACACAATAGGCGCAATGCATTCCTCCACTTCAACCAACCAACTTAACTTATACTAATAACACCGCAATATATATTACAATCACTTTGAACAATAAACCCGGGATATTTAAACTGTTCACGCCTTCAATGATTTGATCATGGTTACAACTCAACTACTAGAGCTACTACTCCTAAAATTACATTGCATGTATTTTGTTTTAATTCTACTCAAATGAAGGCCTTTAGACTCTAATGTAGACCTCCATTATTCAAAATTTTTCTAAACTATTTCTCTAGTCTTATCCACAAGAAGGATATCATTAGCCAAAAACATACACCAAGGTACATCCTTCTGTAAATGTCCAACAAGAGCATCCACAAGAGCATCCATAACTAAAGCAAAAAAGATATAAGTTTATAGCTGATTC